CATATAAACTAGAGGCAGTTTTCTAATAGTATGTGTTAGTCAACTTTGTGTTGCTGTGACAAAATACCTGACAAGAAAAATATAGAGGATAAAAGTTCATTGGGACTCACAATTTCAGAGGTCTCAGTCCATGGCTGTCCAACTATACTGCTCTGGACCCGAGATGAGATAAAATGCCATGGGAGAAAGGTGTTCTGGAAGAAAAGTTACTCAACTTGTTGCAGCAGAAAAGCAGAAAGAAAGGAGAAGAAAGGGGTGGGAGAGAAGATAAACCCTTCCAGGACATCCCCCAAAAGACCAAATTCCTCCAACAAAAGTCCCACCTTCCAGTTCATATAGCTACAAATGGATTAATCTCCTGATGAGGTGAGAGCTCTTATGACCTAATCACTATCATAAGCCCCATCTCTGAGAACATGAGATTTTGGGAGAATTTGCATGTCCAAACTATAATATTATATTGAATACAAAACCATCATTCTGAGGACTTGTTAATATTCTAATAATGACTCCATCCTTACAGTCAAAAATTTAAAAATTAACAAGAATATTATGTATCCATTCAATTTTCCTAAAAGTGTCCTTGAGAAAATTATTCTAGATCCTTCATTTCTTAAAAATGCAAAAGAAAGCATGCTATTTCAGTGACCTCCCCCTACTAGATTTCCTTTTTAATTTTCTACTTTTTTCAGGGGGAATGTTGTCAGTGGCAATATAATTCTCTATTTTACTATCTCAGAAACTTAATAGTATTTAGAATCTTCCTTCCCTATACAAATTTAAAAGATGGCATAACTCCCCATAACCTACCTGAGAAAATTCAAACACTGTCACTTACTCTTTGTCTGACCTTGGGTAAGTCAAGCTCTGGGCTTTGATTTCATCAATTATAGAACAAGGAAAATAAAAGTGCTCATCCCACATGTCTCTTGCAAGTACTAAATATGTTATTATTTCTGACATCATTATTCAGACATCGTCTGGCATATGTTAAATAATACAAAAAATTGGCACAAAACCCTCTGAAATTTTTATTTCTTAAATTTCACCAATTTCTAGACATTGAATTCATTTACCGAACTGCCATATCTATCTTGTCTGTATTTTCTAAATGACAGCTTCACAAATCTGTTGACATATCTTTTCCTAAAATCATGTTCTTCATTTTTGATGTCATCTTTTATACTTTTTGATGGATAATATTTCAGATACTATAACCAAATTATACTTAACAAGAGACTCCATAATTTCACCTTTTGAAAAAGACGTTTAAGCTTTTCATTATAAGGAAATCTCTACAAACTCTGAAATCTTACGGTTTATTACATAAGTTATAAAACCATTTTGATGACAAAAATGATACAAGGTACTTTCTTCAGTGCCTATACAGAGCAAGGATTTGATAAATGTCAAACATCATATATACAAATATATAATACTTGTTTTACATATATATGTGTAATTATCCTTTTAATTACATATACCATCACCTAGTTAACTATTTAGTATCTTTTGAACAAATTATCTATCTGTACTATGTTTTTAAAAAGACATGAATATGTCTTTTACACTTATGTTTATCTTGTTTTCCCAATTCAGATGTACACTATTTTCATTAGGTAAATACTATAATGTGCCCATAATTTAATAACTAGATCTAAAGTATGATAAAATGTCATGATGTTTTCTCTCCCTCATATACAATTTAAAATGTAGTATACATTTCATGTCCTCAATATTATAACACGGAGTTTCAAGTAGAACATTATCACCACAGAATTTTGTAAGAGAATCTTTGCCAGACAAAATGAACAGCTCTAGATCCCTAAGACAAAGTGGCAGAATTAGCATTCACAGCATATCAGCCATGTGTTCATTATTCCCTGTCGATGACTTATAACAACTGTGTGATTATAGTTACAGTTGCTGGCATGTGATCAGGCTTATTTTGATGGCCTTGGAACCACAAATGACTGAGTAATCATACACTTGGCTTTAGTTCTTTTTTCAATCAGATCAATTGGATGAAAGAGAACACCAAAGCTGTTAAAAATCATCAATAAAACATAAAAGAAGAAAAATATTAAATGAAGCCATGCAACGTGAATTGAAGTGTATGTGTACAAGGCCACATGTGTTAGTATGCTCTCCAACTTCTGGATTTAAATAGACCTAAAAGTTTTGGCTTCATAAGAACATATCATTAGCTGAAAGAAGAAGACACTTAGTCCTTGCATAACCATTTTCAAATACCAAACATATGTGAATGTTCAAGTTGTTAAAATTTTCCTACCTTATTTTTTTAATCCTTGATGTTTAGAAAGTTTTTCTTCACAGAGGGATCTGCAGAAGAGTGCCTATTTCTGAGGTCTTTTTCTCCCAAAATTTTGGCCAGTGGCAGTGAGCCCAGCTCTCATTGACATGCATGGCCACTTGCTGGCAAGTCACTCCCTTTATTCCATGGTTTAATTATAAAAGTCATTAAGAGAGTAGAGCTACATTGCCACCAAGTAATATATCCATGCATAGTTTGTTTTACTATTGATTTTAATGCATAAGGATGACATTTCTTAACTTTTCACATTTGAGCTCACTCACAGAGAAAATATTAAATCAACATCATTTTGTGATAATTCTATCATTTTGTTTTCTCCATTCAGATTGAAGGTAAATAACTAACTCTTGCATCATTCATAATACTTCAAGCCACCTCCAAGGGGAAGAATATGTTCTTAGATACAAAACTATCATAGCATTAATGTTTGTTTTTCAGCCTTTTTAAAGATTATTCACCACAGAGAGTAATTTAAGTTACATGTAAACTGCAAACGGGTTTATAAAATATAACACATTTCACATTTATTTATAATCAGTATTCATTTAAGTAGGAAAATATTAGTAACAAGAACATTGTAAGGAAATGTAAGACGTGCACTAAGAACACTTACTTACTCTGTGTAAAATATTGTTAATATCTGCTATGAAAATCAGAGATAATAGAAGAGAAAGGAACAAGATGAAAGCATACATGATTAAATTAAAGATTAGGCAAATGTGATTACTTTTAGGTTATTCATGATGAAGTGAAAAAGAGTCTCAAATAACTCTTAAAAATAAATAACAATAAAACTTTCTAAACATTTCACTGAATTTAAAATACATAATAGATTTTCTTCACAAATGGATTCATAATTGTAGTTTGATAGCCATATTAAATTATATTATGAAATTTATCATATCCTAGATTTATTTTGGCTAATATGAGCAATTTCAATGTAAAATATTTTATGTATTAAACTATTAGCATATGCCTCAATTTTGAATGTACTGTGCAAGATTCAAGAATAAGCAAATGTATTAAAAATACATGGGAAAATATAAAATATCACATTTGAAGTACATGGGGGCAAGCAACAAGGTATTTTATATAGTTGAAACTAAAGTCACTGTATAAATATTTAATTGGAGGAATTGAGAAGAATGAGACTTAGAATCTCTTCTAGCAATATCTTTCACTAAATTATTTAATGGTTATCTAACTAAACTTAAATACCCCTCTGAGTGACCAGTGTCTATTCTTCGGGGAGTCAGCATTAAGCCTAGAAAGACATACTTGACCAAATTTTCATCTTGACCAAATTTTCATCTTGACCAAGATCAGGCTTCATATTCTTGATGTCTGTTTTCCAAAACACAGATGGTCATTATAAAATGATGACAGCAGTAGATTTTGTGGTCATGTACTACAGTCCCCTTTCTTTGTAAGCATGTCATTGAAGGCCAAACTAAAATCAATTTTCTTCCTTTGTGGGAAAAGTGGATTTTCTTTATTAAGAAGGGGGTTGGGGGAGTCAATCATGTGCATAGAATGTGCTAAAACAACAAAGGATTTCTTAAAATAATGTTTAACTGGAATTATCGTTTGAGGGGTTTTCTCCATCCCTATCCATGTTTGAAAGACCATATTTTTAACTTTTTCTTCATATCCTCTCAAGTAGCAGTTGCCTGATGCCTAAGTATCATTTAATGAGTGATTGTTGAATAAACCCATTAATCTCTTGTTTCCATTGCAGAATTTAATTATTCAATTTTTTGCATGGATTATTCTCAGTTCACAAAAGTGGAATTCAAATTGTGACTTTTTATAGAGCCGATATATAGGTGTAAAAGCCTGACGTCTCTATTTGATTCTTTTTATCACCTTTACTTTGACCCACACTCTTTAATTTTATTTTAATTAAGACCATATTCAATCACAATCTACTCCAGAGAAAGTGTTTAGCACAACAGTTATTTAATGTTGAAGCCTGTATATTCTTAAAACTAGAGCTTGGCAGAGGTACAGTGTGAGCAGATGTTTATTAGAGCTCCCGAATCGGATACACACTTAAAGATATTGAGTGATTCAGTGTACTGGTTCTGCAAGCTGCTGTCAGAAAGCTGAAAGGCTCTATGGCCTTTCTGTGTATTGCTGTTTTCAGCAATAAAATTTGCATTTTAATCTGCAGGGATGTTCATATCTTTCTGCCAACTAGTATCAGCATCCTGTCCAGAATCATCAAACTAGAAGCATGATGGCCTTGACAAATATTTTCATTTCACTTAGCAAATATTTCTTCCATCACTGAAAAGTTAACACCTCCATAACCAGAACTTATATGACTTTGGAGGGGTCTAAAACTTCATTTAAACAAACAAAAGTGATTTCATAAGGAATTATATTGCCATGACAAGTCAACAGTTTGAATAAGAGAATAGTCATTGGAGTCTCTATAGCATCTGGAGTGCATAGAATTTAAAGTGTTCAAAGGGGAAATCATTGCCCTTAGTTATGCTTGCTCACTTTAGTGGAAATTACACATGCATATCAGAGGAAATGCACTTCCTGCTCAACTTAGCGAAAATTCTAATTAAAAAGATCCACACAGTGCTCATCCAAATATACCTTTGGACTTGTTGAAACCACTTATGTAAGCAGGAATTTAAATTAACATGGGTTGCCCAAAATATATAGAAAAATATAACACAGCACTGAATTTAGAAAAAAAGACTAGCTATTAAATCAACAATACTCTCAGTTAAAGGGAGGTCAGATGGAGAACAAAATATGTTCTCTGTTTTACTTTCTCAAAACAATAATAAAGTTACTTTTTCCAAAAACTATCCATTCCCAAAGATGCATGGAAAAATAACCCTAAGGAAGCTATTCTAAGTTCCATGAATTCGTTGAAAGTAGCCTTTTATTTTATAATATTCAGATAAAAATAAGGGCAAATTTCACAAAATGTAAGCTTGAAGATTTATAGTGCATTCTAGAATTGTATTAATGTGAATAAAATACCCTTCAGCTTCCGTATCACAGTCCTGTCTTGGTTGTTTTTCTGAAATTCTCAACTTGTTTTCTACTTACATTCTCCTCCTTCTGTAACATGCCGAAGTTGTAACCCTGGACTTTAGCAGATTCAGAATAGCACATTGTTTCTGGTCCTAATCTGAAGACAGACTCAAGTGATTATTGGTGTGGTCTATGCCTATTGTGAACTCTGTAATAAAAATTGCAAAAAGCTAGGACTAACAGGCTGGTGTTAGTGCAAAACATGAAAAAGAAAACAAAATCAGTATTTTCCATCCCAACATTGGTTGCCTTTCTCTTTCCTCACAGCTCCAAACCATTAAGGGGAAAGCAACACCCTTTTGGGGTTCCTTCAGCCATCACTTTCACTGTGTACATTTATAGAAACAAATCAAAGCAATAAAGCACAAATTGCTCTATAATGATTTATGTAAATGTTCCATTTTTTATTATTTTGTTTCTGTAGATTTTATTTTATGAAAATATTGGTCCAACAATATTTACTTCTTTTCTGTTTGGCCTTTAAACCTAGAGTCATGTGTGGATTCTTTCTTATTTACTTCACAACACTTAGAACCATATATTCTGGAAGGGCTTACTGTATTGACATTGGGTTCAAGAAGCCACACTGATACTTGAACTTCCTATCTAATTATTTACTTACTACTACAAATATTCATAACATACATTGCAAAACCACTTATTTATTAAATATTATGTGTTCAGATAATCACAAATCTTGGATTGAGAAAAGAATAATATTTGTCACATTTTCCATGGGAAATAATATTAAACTATATAATTTTAACTTGTAAATAACTAATCACAAGGAAATACAGTGCAAATTCAAGGAGTATCTATATTCACTTCTAATAAGCAGTTCCTCATCACTGTAAGAAATTAACATTATAAATCATGTTTTGAATATTTTTGTGCCGAATCTTATATCTAAAGGATTTGTGATGGCTGTTTTCTTCTATAGAGTGTTGTCCACTTGTTAATATCAAATCTAAATCTTAAACTTTATATTCTATTAATCAGTGGTATCTCTCATGTTTTCTAAGACTCATGGGTTCTCAATATCTTGCTTAAAAAATTCTCATCATTGAATAAACTCTCAAGATTCAAATTCTACCACCAATTTTTGTAAATAAGTCAAAGTTCAGATTTGTTATGGCATAAGACATAAAACAACCAAAGTTCTTTCATTCATTTGACTTAATGTCTCTTTCTTTCTCTGTTTATACAAATGCATCTTTCTAAATAGATGGTTCTTGAATATGCCAGTGTTATCACTTCCCTACTTTTGTGATCACTGTGCTTTTTTAGTATTAGGGTTCTTTATTTATGTGTACTTTTTAACATTTTATTTTTGATTATTTTTAACTAATATTTGAAAACATATTTATTATGTTTATTTACCTAGTACTATGTGATGTGTTGACACATGAATACATCATGTAATGTTCAAATCATGGTTCTACAATTTGTATTTAGTGTCCCCCAAAGACCTCATGTGTTTAAGGCTTTCTCCCATCCTGTGGTGCTATTTCAAGGTAGTGGAACCTTTAAGAGGTAGGACCTTGTGGAAAAAAAGTTAGTCAGTGGGTGTGTAGCCCTGAAGGGGATATTGGTACCTCAGTCCCTTCTTCTTTTTGCTTCCCAACCACCACAAGGTGAGCAGCATCCTTCACCATGCATTCCTGCCATGGCCTACCATGCTGCCACAGGCTCAAGGGATCATAAGCTGAAACCTTTGATGCCATGAGGCAAATAAACATTTTCCTTTATAAAGCTGATCTTCTACTTTGTCACAATGAGGCAAATCTGATTAATCTACAGAATAAATATCTCTATATCTTCAAATGTATTATTTATTTATGATGAATTCATTCAAAATTCTTCCTTACAGCTGTTTGAAATATATATATTACCATTATTCATAGTCATTCTACTGTAGAATAATAAACCAAAACATCTTACTCCTACTAAATCTAATTTAGTACC